GGGGGGGGGGGGGGGGGGATATACTGAGTGTCTCCTGCCCCCACAACACTGCACACACACACAAAATTATGCATGTGCTCTCTGCCTCTAGGTCTGTGGTGTCCTGTAACAACATATCACTTAATCAAAGGACTGCAGGCAAGACAAGAGCAGCTCTAGGCCAGAAAAAGATTGGACCCTACTGATCTAAAAGAGACTGTTACCTAATTAATTATCCCACTTTTATCTCTATATCTTTTACGTCCTTTTTATATTTGCTGCTTTTTATTTTTCTTCATCTATACGATAGTTGAAGGAAGGAACCTTTGGGATTTTGCCTTATTTACTTATGCATTACAGAGTATGTATTCATACAGAAAAGATCATGCATGTACACACTGAAAACAACGTGGCAACCTAAGGGTTAAACGTGTGACAGCCCCCTCCTGATACACCACCCTGCCATCTCACTAGGGATTCTGTCATCTTTGGTATTTTCAGCCCCCCCAGAGTGAAAAACCGTGCTACACTCCAGGGCTTCTCACACAGCTTCCTTTTCTATTAACTACACTAATCCCTTTCATACTAGGAGGGAAATCTGTCCCCCTAGGTGTTTTTCTGCTATATTTTTTTAATGAAAACTCCGGTGGGTGTTTCTTCAGGCAGCCAACATCTCTCTATGAAGAGAAGGAAAACAGTGTTCTCTATTTCTGCATGCCCTGCTGCTCATAGTTCTATGTGAGTTACTATAAAATGCTAGAGCATTTTTGCAAAAAGGGGCACATTATTTCCGAATTAAATGCAGTTCTAATTTCAGCTTAGTTTTAGAATAACAAAATCGATAGAACATAAACCTACTGAGCTTCCAAACTGACTAAGGTGGCCATGCCAACTCGTTTGTTCGTTCACACATAACCCGAATTTCCCTACGACCCTCCCGCCCATAGAGGCAATTTTTCTGCTGGTTTGTAGCTCTTGCTAATGCAGGACCTCTGGCTTCCTGCCAAAGCCTTTGCATCTAATTCTGGAACTTGCTGGGGGCTGTCTCCAGTCTCTAGCACGCATTTCTGTTACGTGGTCACTGGCACCCCCCCTCCCCCTCCCATCCCCACCAGGCCCAGCTGCTGTTCCATCTCACCGCTGGGCCCTGAAATCTCTTTTTAAGCATGGGCCAGGGTCCCCAGTTGTCGCAGGCATCTCCCACCTCTCGGAGAGGCCCAGCTCCCTTTGCTCTGCGATGGGGCAAGACGCTTCTTTCCCCCTGGTTAGATGTTCTGTGGGAGAAAGCCGGCCCCTCTCTCCTCAGGAGCCCATGTGCATCCAGGGGACTAGGGGACAGATCGGGAACGGCCACCGCACTGTCGTCTCTTCCCTCCTGCCGCACGGGCCAAGCTCTCCCCTGGGTTCGGCCCGCCGGGCCTCCTTTCTTCTTCATGTGCATGAGTGCCCTCACTCACATTGTAAGTGGCCCCCCGTGGCCACCACCCCTGTCCCGCAGACTTGCCCACACATATCTGAGCCCTGCAGAAGTGAATTCCTTCCCTAGAAGCCCTGGCTCTTCTGCAGCTTCTCATGACCTGCCCCTACCATAGTTGTGGACATCTCTGAGACTCCCTTAAATTCAATCCAGGCACCGTGCTGCATGTGTAAGAAAGAATAGAGTGCAGACACACTGAGTACACGTCCCTGCCTTCCCAGTGAAAATCAGCTCTGGTTTGGCTCATGGCTTTCACGTGCACGTTTTCCTCTGCCTGGGAAGTGCAGGTTGGGGCACCCCTCTTATGTCGTCCCAGCACTGTGCTTCTCCACTTCACGGGACTCATCACATCA